TAGTCGTCGTCGTCGTTGTCCGTCGTCGGTCGTCGTCGTCGTCGTCGTCGTCGTCGTCGTCGTTCGGTCGTCGTCGTCGTCGTCGTCGTCGTTCGTAGTCGTCGTCCGGTGTCGTCGTCGTCGTAGTAGTAGTAGTAGTAGTAGTAATAGTAGTAGTAGTAGTAGTAGTAGTAGTAGTAGTAGTAGTAGTATTAGCCGTATGAGTAGGAGTAAGAGTAGAAGAAGTAGTAGTAGTAGTAGGAGTCGTAGTCGTAGTCATAGTCGCAGTTGTCGTCGTAGTAGTAGTAGTAGTAGTAGTAGTAGTAGTAGTAGTAGTAATAATAGTAGTGGTGGTAGTAGTGGTGGTAGTAGTAGTAGTAGTAGTAGTAGTAGTAGTATTAGCCGTAGTCGTAGTCGTTGTAGTAGTCGTAGCCGTAGTCGTCGGAGGAAATCATGATCTCCTCCTCCTCCTCTTCGTCGTCGTGTCGTCATCATGATCCTCCTCCTTCTCCTCCTCCTCCTCCGTTTCCTCCTCCTCCTCCTCCTCCAGCGAAAACCCATCGGGCTCGATTTTCAGGCCCGATGGGTTTTCGCTGCTGCCAACCCTCCGAAGCCGAATTCCGGGCACGTGAAAGCTTGAACCCCCCCCAGTGCATTCGGGCTCGATTTTCAGGCCCGATGGGTTTTCGCTGCCGCCGACCCTCCGAAAGCGAATTCTGGGCACGTGAAAGCTTGAAACTCCCCCAATGCATTCGGGCTCGATTTTCAAGCCCGATGGGTTTTCGCTGCCGCCCACCCTCCGAAGGATGAGATCCCCCCAAATCCTTCGGGCTCGATTTTCAGGCCCGATTGGTTTTCGCTGCCGCCGACCCTCCGAAAGCAATTTCGGAACGTAGAAACAACAAATTATCCCAAATCCTTCGGGCTCGATTTTCAGGCCCGATGGGTTTTCGCTGCCGCCGACCCTCCGAAAGCGAATTCTGGGCACGTGAAAGCTTGAAACTCCCCCAATGCATTCGGGCTCGATTTTCAGGCCCGATGGGTTTCGCTGCCGCCCACCCTCCGAAGGATGAGATCCCCCCAAATCCTTCGGGCTCGATTTTCAGGCCCGATTGGTTTTCGCTGCCGCCGACCCTCCGGAAGCAATTTCGGAACGCAGAAAAACAAATTCTCCCAGATCAGTCGGGCTCGATTTTCAGGCCCGATGGGTTTTCGCTGCTGCCCACCCTCCGAAAGCGAATTCTGGGCACGTGAAAGCTTGAAACTCCCCCAGTTGCATTCGGGCTCGATTTTCAGGCCCGATGGGTTTTCGCTGACGCCCACCCTCCGAAGGATGAGATCCCCCCAAATCCTTCGGGCTCGATTTTCAGGCCCGATGGGTTTTCGCTGCCGCCGACCCTCCGAAAGCGATTTCGGAATGCAGAAAAAAACACACACATCCTCCGAGATCAGTCGGGCTCGATTTTCAGGCCCGATGGGTTTTCGCTGCTGCCAACCCTCCGAAACTGAATTCCGGGCACGTGAAAGCTTGAACCCCCCCCAGTGCATTCGGGCTCGATTTTCAGGCCCGATGGGTTTTCGCTGCCGCCGACCCTCCGAAAGCGAATTCTGGGCATGTGAAAGCTTGAAACTCCCCCAATGCATTCGGGCTCGATTGTCAAGCCCGATGGGTTTTCGCTGCCGCCCACCCTCCGAAGGATGAGATCCCCCCAAATCCTTCGGGCTCGATTTTCAGGCCCGATTGGTTTTCGCTGCCGCCGACCCTCCGAAAGCGATTTCGGAACGCAAAAACAACAAATTCTCCCAGATCAGTCGGGCTCAATTTTCAGGCCCGATGGGTTTTCGCTGCCGCCGACCCTCCGAAAGCGAATTCTGGGCACGTGAAAGCTTGAAACTCCCCCAATGCATTCGGGCTCGATTTTCAGGCCCGATGGGTTTTCGCTGCCGCCCACCCTCCGAAGGATGAGATCCCCCCAAATCCTTCGGGCTCGATTTTCAGGCCCGATTGGTTTTCGCTGCCGCCGACCCTCCGAAGGCGAATTCGGAACGCAAGAAAAAAAACAAATTCTCCCAGATCAGTCGGGGTCGATTTTCAGGCTCGTTGGGTTTTCGCTGCTGCCTACGCTCCGAAACCGAATTCCGGGCACGTGAAAGCTTGAAACTCCCCCAGTGCATTCGGGCTCGATCTTCAGGCCCGATGGTTTTTCGCTGCCGCCGACCCTCCGAAAGCGAATTCTGGGCACGTGAAAGCTTGAAACTCCCCCAATGCATTCGGGCTCGACTTTCAGGCCCGATGGGTTTTCGCTGCCGCCCACCCTCCGAAGGATGAGATCCCCCAAAATCCTTCGGGCTCGATTTTCAGGCCCGATTGGTTTTTCGCTGCCGCCGACCCCTGACAGCGATTTCGGAACGCAAAAAAACAACAAATTCTCCCAGATCAGTCGGGCTCGATTTTCAGGCCCGATGGGTTTTCGCTGCTGCCCACCCTCCGAAACCGAATTCTGGCACGTGAAAGCTTGGAACTCCCCCAATGCATTCGGGCTCGATTTTCAGGCCCGATGGGTTTTCGCTGCCGCCCACCCTCCGAAGGATGAGATCTCCCCAAATCCTTCGGGCTCGATTTTCAGGCCCGATTGGTTTTCGCTGCCGCCGACCCTCCGAAAGCGATTTCGGAACGCAAAAAACACACATTCTCCCAGATCACTCGGGCTCGATTTTCAGGCCCGATGGGTTTTCGCTGCTGCCACCCTCCGAAACGGAATTCTGGGCACGTGAAAGCTTGAAACTCTCCCAGTGCATTCGGGCTCGATTTTCAGGCCCGATGGGTTTTCGCTGCCGCCCACCCTCCGAAGGATGAGATCCCCCCAAATCCTTCGGGCTCGACTTTCAGGCCCGATTGGTTTTCGCTGCCGCCAACCCTCCGAAAAGCGATTTCGGAATGCAAAAAAAAACACAAATTCTCCCAGATCAGTCGGGCTCGATTTTCAGGCCCGATGGGTTTTCGCTACTGCCAACGCTCCGAAACCGAATTCCGGGCACGTGAAAGCTTGAAACTCCCCCAGTGCATTCGGGCTCGATTTTCAGGCCCGATGGGTTTTCGCTGCCGCCGACCCTCCGAAAGCGAATTCTGGGCACGTGAAAGCTTGAAGCTCCCCATGCATTCGGGCTCGACTTTCAGGCCCGATGGGTTTTCGCTGCCGCCCACCCTCCGAAGGATGAGATCCCCCCAAATCCTTCGGGCTCGATTTTCAGGCCCGATCGGTTTTCGCTGCCGCTGACCCTCTGAAAGCGATTTCGGAACGCAGAAAACAACAAATTCTCCCAGATCAGTCGGGCTCGATTTTCAGGCCCGATGGGTTTTCGCTGCTGCCCACCCTCCGAAAGCGAATTCTGGGCACGTGAAAGCTTGAAACTCCCCCAATGCATTCGGGCTCGATTTTCAGGCCCGATGGGTTTTCGCTGCCGCCCACCCTCCGAAGGATGAGATCTCCCCAAATCCTTCGGGCTCGATTTTCAGGCCCGATGGGATTTCGCTGCCGCCGACCCTCCGAAAGCGATTTCGGAACGCAGCAAAACAACACAAATTCTCCCAGATCAGTCGGGCTCGATTTTCAGGCCCGATGGGTTTTCGCTGCCGCCGACCCTCCGAAAGCGAACTCCGAACGCAAAAAAAAACAAAACGGCTGGCGCGACTGTGGCTTGCGACACAGATGCACACGCACACACACAAACACACACACACACACACACGCACGCACGCACGCACGCACGCACGCACGCACGCACGCACGCACGCACGCACACACACACGCACGCACACACACACACACACACACACACACACACACACACACACGCGCGCGCGCAAACACGCACCGTGTTACTGGTAGCTTGTAAAAGTCCTGGAACGCATAGGGACGGCGCGGGCCCGTCAGACCTACGCACAGAGAGACGACCTCTTACTCCTCCCCCTCCTCCTCACTCCTCCTGTCCCCCAGAGGAGCCATCGAAGGCCCAGCCGAAGAGGAAAAGAGCAAACCAAAACGTCGACCACCCGGCCTTGTAAGACCACGCCTGGCAAAAAAAACACACACAAATACCCACACAGCACACACACACACACTCACAAAACGCACGCACAAACAAAGACACACAAACCGATTACACACGCGCACACACACAAAGACACATGCAACCACACACACACACACGCAACGCACACACACACACACACACCCACACACAAACACACACACACACAAACACACACACACACACAAAACACACACGAGCACACAAGCACACAAGTACACAAGCACACACACACACACTCACGCAAAACACACAAGCAACACACACAAACGCACACACACACACACACACACACCAGAAAAGGCTCCGCCGGAACGTGCCAGGAAGAAATTTATGTTTTACATGTTTTTTTCCACGGGCGCGTTGGACGCTGGCGGGTACAATAGGGCCACGGCCTTAGTGGGCCCTGGAATCAATAAGGCCGTGTTTTTACCGGTTCCGTTTTGTCATTTTTGTTGCCGGCTCCGTCGCCGTTTTTTTGCTGGTCCCGTCGCCGTTTTTTTCGCGGTTCCAGCTCCAGTTCCAATCTCGGAGCTGTTTATTGCCGTTTCCTCTGGCTGTTGTGTTGCCGCTTCCGTTTTCAAGAGACGCTTTGTCGGAAACGGTGAAAAACGGCCCTGCTGTTTCCGGGGCCCTCGAAAGCCACGGCTTCAATACAAGACGGCGGGAGCATCGCGCCCCAAGCTTCCGACAGCGCACATGGGAGCGCACGGCTCCACAATGTGCCGTCTGCGGTCCAAGTGGGGGACTTGTCATCGCTCGGACGTCGATTTCCTATGATTCCCTGTGCGTTGTTCGGTTTCGTGCGTGCTTTTTGTTTTTCTTCGTTAGATGATCCAATCTGCTCCTCGGTGGCCCTCGCCGAAAAATGCACACGTCCGAGCGGTGCCAAGAAGAGCAAAGGGAGGCCTGGCCAGGCGGGGCCCCTCCTCCACGGAATTGATGGAGTCGACCTGGACCTCGCCCTTGCGAAGCTTCAGCCCAGAGGGCTGCTGGTCGAACTTTATCTCCCTGTCCTGAGCACCACCCCTCCTCCCTGGACAAAGGCATCGGGTGGTCCAAGGGGAGGCCATGGGGGAAAGAGGGGGGGAGGGAAGGAATGGAGGGAGGGGGGGGGAGGTGGGGGGCGAACGAGACGAAGAGGTGACTACTAATGGAGGGGTGTGATGGAGATGTCGAAGGGGAGGGCGCCCCGATGAGGGCGGGCCGAGGTCCGTCCGGGCACGTGGGTTGCCAGCGCCCGCTGCGCCCATCTCCAGAGGCGGGAGGAGCCGCAGTTGAATGGCAGGCGTGGCCAAAAATAGACCCCCCCCCACCCCCTGGCGCGGTCGAACAGAGGACCCCGACCGGGAAGTTAAAACAAGGATGTGGCGAGAAAGACGAGACTCGTCTCTTCTGTCGGGGGGGCACAAAAGGTGGGGTTGGGGCATAGATGAGGTTGGAGGAAAAATCGCTCCGAACGGCCCCTGGAAGGAGGAAGCTCGTGAAACGGGAGCATCCAGCTGGGCCCGTTCCCCGACGAGAGGCACCGGCTGAAACGCGCTGTGGCGCGCGCGCGCCTCGGGGCCCCGAGAAAAGAAGCCGCCGCTTCGGGGGTGCGGCGCCCCCCTCGGCGGCCCAGGGCCTGGTCTGCGGAACAGCTTGCCAGGTGTTCGGGCAGCGTGCGGCACAGAGGGGCGGAAACAAGTGCAAACTTTTACGTCGGCGGCAAGGCTAGGCGGAGGGTGACTGCGCTGGCATGAGCGGGGGTCCCGTTGGGCCGAATTGTCCCACCATGCAGGAGGAGGAGGGGGGAGGGACGCGGCCGAAGGAAAATAAGGACGGGGCGGGCGGCTCAGGGGTCAAACACAAGTGCAAAACAGCCAACAGCCACACCCAGCGAGGGGATGCAAGGGCCTCCCCAGGTGAGCCTCAGGGCATCAGGACCCGAAAGCCAGCGTCCGTGCAAACACGGCCGAATGCGGAAAAGGTGAGAAGGCCCCAGTGCGACAGGAAACCTGGCTCCTGGTCACAGCCTGCATACGGGGCGTATCCAAGGGCCCTCAGACGACGACGCAGGCAACTGACCCTGCGCGGCCTGCGCGGGCAATGAACCTGGTGGCGCACGCGTGAAAGGGGCAGGAGGAGGGCGGCAGTGGAAGACGGTGGTCGTGGCACCGGCGCCGTGAAGCAGCATGGAACATGGGGCTGGTGCCCCCAAAAGGCAGCAAGCCTTCGGTCAATCTACAGACGGCGTTGGAATACGGGGTCGGGCGAAGACGTCGTGGTGGTACGTCGGGCCCCAGCGGTTGACGACGGCGTCAAGCCAGGACAGGCGTCGGTGATGGGTGTCGTCCGCTTCCGTGGTGAGGCGTCGGAAGAAGGCGTACGTGTCCATCACGCCCGCAGCGCCATGGTTGGCGCCAAGGGTGCCGTTAAGGCAGAGAGCGAGGGTGTAGTGAAGCAGCCGTATGCCAGAATCAGTCGCTCAGTCCCAGGCAGGGCACGAGGCAGGGAACGCAGCGCTCGCGCGCGTAGCTTGAGGCACTGGTCCGCTGTCAGCGTGTCGGCCAAGGGAGGGGCCTTCTTCCGCAGCCACCCAGGATCCGAGGGCGGGTCGGAGATCGGCAACCTGCGCGGGGTGGATCCGGCAGGCGGCAAGCGCCCAGAGTGAGATGGCGCGACGGCCTGGTGAGAGAGGCGGCCTTTGGGGGGCGTGATGGGGGGGCTCTGACCCAGCGTGCGGCGGAAGCGCCGTCGCTGGCGGGACGGCCTGGTGGCCTCCACCTCCTCCGCCTCGTCTCCTCCGCCTCGCCCGCGTCGCGTCCCAATCGGAAGCCAGCGGTCCAGCCTGCGCCACGCGGCTGCACCTGGTGGCATGCCACTATGTGGGGCGCTGGGAGGGGGGCGGGAGCGAGGCCAGCGGCGGGTCACGGGCCTCTTCGTTGCCATTGCGGCAGCGCGCTGCAGGGAGAAGCAGCACGCGGAGGAGAGCGGCCAGCTCTCGGGTAGCGGTGGCCAGCCAGGCGAGCCCACGCAGGAGGGACCCAAGTGGTGCGCCCAGGAGGAGGATAAGCACGCCAACCCCTACCCGGGCCAAGGTGCGGGGAATGGCGCGCGTGACAGCGTGTGCTCTCGCTGTCGCGTGAGCCTGGTGGCCCTGCTGGGAGCTACCAGTGGCGCTCGTCGGCCACTCGGCGGCCGGGTCGCTTGGAGCCGCGGTGGGGTAGCGTCGGCATGCGGCTGCCCGGTCATCAGGCTCGTGCGTCGGTGGGCAGGCGTTCGTTCGGCGGCTGTCGGCGGCGGGTGTCGGCGTGCAGTCGTCAGACGGTCGTCGGGCAGTCGTCGGACGAGCGGGGGACGGGCGCGGTCGGTCGTCGAGCGCCGCTCTGCCGGTCGGCGGCGGGACGTCGAAGGGCTTCTCCCCGACCAGGGGGGCAGCTGTGAGGCTGGGCGTGCGCAGGCGGGCAGTGGTGCCGTTGGTCAGCTGGACCACCCAATACCAGTTGTGCTCCCCCATTCGGCCGACAACGAAGCCGTGGTGACCGTTGATAGAATTAAATCGGGCGCGTCCCCCTACAGGCCGATTTTGGACGAAAAATAATGGAGAAATAAGCAACACATATGAACAAAATACTCAAAACATCGTCCTCAGACTATTTGTTGACTACTTTTGAAAGCTTGTGAATATTCCTCCTGTAGAGGGACACGCCCGACTTGATGATAGAGGTACGCTCTTGGTCGATAACCGCCGCCTCGGTTCCTTCGCGGATGGGTGGAGGCACGGGGGAGGAACGAGACCAGTGTCGCCGGCGGCCAGCAGCCCCCTAGGCCGATGCGTTGGCCCTGGCGGGCCTTGATGGCCCCGACATCTGGGGTGACGGTGCTGGCGTTGTCGCTGGCGGCCGAGCGGTGGTGTGCCGAGGCATGCCATGGCGAGGGGGCACGTCGGCCTCCCCCCCCTGTGTGCGGCGCTCAGTGCACGCTGGCAGCGAGCCCGGTGGCTGCTGCGGCTTGACTCTGCGTGACCCTCGGCGCGGCGCGGCGCGGCGCAGCGCGCACCGCGGGGGTGACGCTCGCGGCGGCGCCCGGGTGGCCAGCCGAAGGGTCACCATGCGGGTGATGTGGACGTGGCCCACTGCTGGGGGGCCGCGGCGGTGTCGCTCGTCGGAGGTCCTCTCAAGGATGCCCGGCAGTGACTCCGAGATGGTGCTCCAGGAGTAGGCGGGTAAGCCATCGATCAACTTGCGTGCTCCTCTGGAGGGGGTCCAGAAATTGCGCAGCAGTTGCCTCACGTGACCAGAAAGGCGGAGTCAGCTCGTGGTGGCTGCGATTTGCCTGCTGGTCTGGTCCAGTCGGGGTGTGTGATGGCGCCTGGTGCCATGTGGAGACGAGCGTTGGTGAGACGGGAGCAGACGGCCGTCGATCGTCCGTCTGGCTTGTCGTCCGACGGTCGGCGGACGGTCGTCGGACGTCGTGGGGTCCGTTAGTATTCAGCGGATTCTCGATCAACCGATTGAAGGGGACATCCGATGGCCTCGTGGCCCCCGTGGTTGGTGCTGCAGCGTGGTCATGGTAGCCCCCGCGGCGGGTTCTCCTGAGAGTCGGCGGGCGCTCAGAATGAGGGTCACCACGGACTACGGCATGGGCAACATGATGGAGACTAGCTGGAGTGTTGGCCTGGTGGCAACACCGAGCGGCTCCAGTGGGCGTCGTCGGACGCTCGGCAGGAGGGTCACAACGAACCACGGCGGATCGACTGGCTGCAGCGTGGGCCTGGTGGCCCGCGTGGCTGGTGCCCCTGAGTCGGCGGACGGTCGGAATGACGGTCGTCGATCGTCGTCGTCAGAGGTCGGGCATTCGACAGTCGGTCGTCGGCGGTCGTTCTGGTAGTCGGCGGACGGTCGTCGTCGGTCGTCGGAAGGGTATCGTTGGGTAGCGGAGAGTCGGCGGACGGCCGGCGAGTGGTCGTCAGTCGGGTTGGCGTCGTCTGGCTTGTCGTCCGACGGTCGGCGGACGGACGGTCGTCGGACGTCGTGGGGTCCGTTGGTAGTCGGCGGATCCTTCACCAAGCGGTTGGAGGGGACAGACGTGGGCCTGGCGGCCCCCGTGGCATCCCCGTGGCTGGTCCTGCAACTTGGGCTTGGTGGCCCCCGCGGCTGGTGGTCCTGAGAGTCGGCGGGCGCTAAGAAGGAGGGCTACTGCGGACTACGTCATGGGAAACATCACGGATGCTGGCTGAAGTGTTGGCCTGGTGGCCACACTGAGCGGCTGTATCTAGTGGGGGTCGTCGGACACTCGGCGGGGGGTCACAATGAACCACGGCGGATAGACTGACTGCAGCGTGGGCCTGGTGGCCCACGATGCTGATGCCCATGAGTCGGCGGACGTTCAGAAGAAGGGTCACTACGAACTACGTGATGGGAGACATCATTGAGGCTGGCTGGAGAGTTGGCCTGGTGGCAACACTGAGCGGCTCTAGTAGGGGTCGTCGGACACTCGGCGGGAGGGTCGACATGAACCACGGTATACTGACTGCAGCGTGGGCCTGGTGGCCCCCGTGGCCCGTGGCTGGTGCTCGCAGGAATCGGCTGACGCTTAAAAAGGGGGGCCACCACGGCACACGTCATGGCCGACCTCGCGGGGACTGGCTGGAGTGTTGACCCCGTGGCCACGCAGAGCGGCTCAAGTGGCGGTCTTCGGACACTCGGCGGGAGGGTCGACATGAACCACGGCGGATGGACTGGCTGCAACGTGGGCATTGTGGCGCTGGTGCTCCTGAGACTCAGCGAACTCTCAGAAAGAGGGTCACAACAGCCTACGTCATGGTCGACCTCGCGGAGTCCGGCTGGAACGTAGGCCTGGAGGCCACTCTGAGCGGCTCCAGTGGCTGTCGTCGGACACTCGGCGGGAGGGTCGCAATGAAGCGCGGCGGATGGACTGCTGCGTGGGCCTGGTGGGCCCCCCGATGCCTGATGCCCCTGACAGTCCTCGAACGCTCGGAAAGAGGGTCGCGGCGGAATGCGCATGGGGCGACATCGCGGGGACTGGCTGGAGAGTTATGGAGAGTTGGCCCGGTGGCCACACTGAGCGGCTCCACTGGCGGTCGTCGGACACTCGGCTGGAGGGTCGCAGTGAAGCGCGGCGGGTGGTCTGGCTTACGTGTGGGCCCTGTGGCCCCCGTTGGCCGGCACTGGCGGTAGTCGGCGGACCCTCGGCGGGAGGGCCACCATGAGCTACGACGTGGGGGCTGTATGCAGTTTTGGCCTGGTGGGCCATGGTCAGTTCTGGTGGCAGTCGGCGGAGGCCCGTCGGTCGGGCCGTGATGCCCTGGCACGCGGAAGCGAGCTGCAGCTACGGTCTGGCGGCCTCCCTGCGGCGGGTGGTGGGGCTTCCGCATGGAGGGCACGTAGGGCGCCATGTGGGTGGTCGCGGTGATCCTGAAGGTCTCCATCGCGAACGCCGCGGAGAGGATGAGGGTCACCCTGGTCGGCGGGGGGGGCGTACGAGCTCGGAACGAAGAGCACGTAGATCATTACGGACATCGCGAAGATCGACACGTAGCGCATGACGCTCATGCACCAGGAGGTCTTCGTGTAGATCAGCTAGACGATCGGGAGGATCGTGCGCAGGTGGGCCAACAAAAACCTGGTGGTCAAGAGCGGGAATTTGAAAAAAATAATTCCCGTGGTGGACGCGTTGAAAACGCACCGCAGGACGTGGGAGCCGGTGCATGGGGCGCAAAGCACGGAACGAGGCAGCTGCCGCCCTCCAGGGTCGGAGTCGGGCACGTCGGATCGCCGAAGAGGTAGGCCACGTGGTGGTCACCCCTCGGTTCGAAGCTGGAGCGGCGGCGCATGAAATTGCGGCGCAATCTGGAGGGTTGGTCTTGCAGATTGGCTGCGCCCTGGGACGGGGCGCATTCAGCCTGCCCATGCAGATTTAGAAGGACCGCGGGGGGGTCTGCACCTGTGGTCGCGCTCTGTCCTCAAGGGACTCGGGCCCAGGCTTGAGCCAAAATGGCTACGGAGATGCGGACGGGGAAAGGGCACTCTCCCACGTAATCTCCAAAGAGCGGACCGCCGCGTCCTCCGGAAGAAACCGCTTCTGGGCTGGTATTGCACGCAAGAGGAGGGGGCAAAGGAACGATGGGGCAGATGGGAACGGCATGCAGGACGCGCGAGCCTGCAGCCGGCCATCTTCCTTCCATGCTTCCCTCGCTCGGCCCAGGACGGCCCCTAGAGAGCCCCTACACCTCACGCCCTGGACACGAAAGTCGTGTCGTTCAGCGCGCTGCAACCTGCCGTGTCCAGTTTGCTCCGTCTTCCACTCCCGCTCCCGATTGCCCTCCCGCTTCGCTCCGTCCTTCCTGCCCAGAGCAAGCTTGGTGCTGCGCACGGCAGTTCCGATTGATAGAGCTGGGGGGTGGTGCTCAGCGCAGGTGGGCGGGAGAGGGACAAGGAGGGACATCAAGACCTCATCGCGTCAGGTCGACTGCGAACGTGAAAGGCCGAAACCCACTGGGTTGACGTGCCTTGAAAGTCGTGTCGCTCTCGTTTGGCGGGTGGGAGGGGTCCGCGCTCTCGTGCCGCAGGAGAGCCTCCTCGATTCTCGTTGTAAGCATGTTCCTCGACACTGCTGATATCTCGAAATCAGTATCCCTCTTTTCTTCCCCCCTTATCGTCTCCTTGTTAATATCCCTTCCCCCTCCTCATATCCCTCCCCTTTTCCTCCCTATCTGCCTCCCCCTCCTCCTCCCTCCTCCCTCCCCCTCCCCTCCATCTACTTCTACCGTCTGTTAACCTAAATCATCCTGAATCATCGCCGTGAACGCAACACGTATTCCTCCCAAGAGGGCCGTCTGTTAATTGAGAGCGAGCTGGGCGTCAAACTAGTCCCCTGAATTTTCTTAGTCGCGCCCCACGAGCAGCTCCTCGACATCTGTCGGGCTCAAAAAACCCTGAACCAAAACACCTTGCCATCTCTCGGGAAACACATTTTGACTTCCGCCGCCTTCTGCCGAGCCTCCACCCAAGAAGACATATCAACTCCTTCGATCCTCGAAACTCGCCATCGCTCGGACGTCCATTACCCGTGCAGTTGTCGGCTTCGTGTGTGTGTGTGTTTTTTGTTGCTAGCTGATCCAGGATGCTCCTCGATGGCCCCCACCGAAAAAATGCGCACGCCCGAGAGATACCAAGCCTCCTTCGATCCTCAAAAGCGAAGCCTTCCTTGAATGCCTCACCTCACGCCATCCGCCCTCCAAAAGGGGGGCAGCCCTCCTGCCAGATCTCGGGCTTCTGCTGCTCGTCGTGGACGCCATCCGCCATATCCCGCGCCGGCGGCTCCCGCCAGGCACCGGGCGCTGCAAGGGTTCTGACCCCTGCAGAACCGAAAACCGGAGCGTCGTAGGCGACTGATTCTGGATGTTCCCTGTCGGGAGACTGCTGCCGACACACCAAGATGTCTGCTTGTTGGGGGCCATGCAAGAAACAGCTGTTACTCGCTTGCGCGGGTGACCAAAGACGTCGCTCACTGAGCTTTCCCCAACGACAAGAGCCGCCTGGAGCGGTGCTCTGATGCGGGAGATCTGCGGCGGTACCCCCTCCTCCTCCTCCTCCTCCTCCTCCTCCTCCTCCTCCTCCTCCTCCTCCTCCTCCTCCTCCTCCTCCTCCTCCTCCTCCTCCTCCTCCCCCTCCCTTCTTCCTCATCCCACTTCTCCTTCGCCCCACAATACTGTGCGGGCCCACCCATGACTCATGACGCCGTTCAAAAGCTCCTGGGCCCCCAGGCCCTCCTGCACTCTCGCTTCATCTGCTCTAGCCCCACGTTGTTGGGCAGGTCCCGCCGCGGGATGATTCAGAATCGCGCAACTCAGCAGACCTCAGTCACTATCGCGGAGTGTTGGACCCCAGGGATCCCTCTGAGCCGCTTCCCAGAGCCTGTCCTGGCGAATTCCAAAGTCGTTCCTAAGGCACTCCCAGTCGAGGAGGGGAGAGATGGGGGACGAAACCGAGGACGACGGGGAAGGGCGAAAGGCCGGGCAACCAGAGCCCTGCCCGGACTCTCTCCTGGCCTTCCGTTCGAAAGGTCGTCCGAAGGCTCCTTCGCGCCCTTTCGGGCATCCTGGAGGCAACCTCACAGCGCTTCTCAAGACCAAGGCTCATCCTCGTCATCATTTTCCTCGTCACGCTACTGGTGCTACTCTTCCTCGTCCTCCTGCTCCCTCTCCTTTCCTCCATCCCTGCTCCCCGCGTCCTCTTCGAAACTTGCCAAAGCACTCGGCACTCGGCTCTCTGCAGAACCTCACGACTCTTGAGATCTCCCATGAGCTCTTTGCACGAATGGTTGGGCCCGGCCCACGTCATACCGCGAATCGTTACACACGTAGGTGCAAAAATCTATCAGCTGTTGGGCACGCACCAACTGCGTTACCAATACCAGTACTGGCGCCAACAGCAGCCCAACCACAATCCCAGTATCTGCCCCATACCAACGAACACGCCTCCCCCTTCTCGGGCAGTCGCCGGCAAGGAGCAGCAGCGAAGACCCCTCCCAAACGCACCAGTGCTTGGCATCTCCATGCGTTGCTCTGTCCTGCTTTGCACATCACTGCATGTGTTGCTTCGCATGGCTCCGCACTCCTCTGCGCAGCACCGCGCTGCTTCCAAATCCTCGTGCTCTTCTGCGTACGTCGGATGGTCCTTTCTGATGCTCCTCGTGTTCTCTGCGCTCCCAAGCGACCCACACGCATGTGCGAGTAAGCGAGCAAGATTACGTGCCCCCCGTTGAGCTCCGGTCGAAAGCCATGGATGGGTAGGGCGGGGTCTTGCCTGGCCCCCCGCTGGTGACCGCCCGCGGATGCCTCGTGGTCGCCTGGCGGCCGCCTCGCGGGCGGGGCCTGCCGTTTTGGGTTCGCCCGGTGCCCGCCCAGTCGCCCGCGGGCGCCTCGTGGGCGTCAACAGAGCTTGCACCACATCTCGGGGGGAACGAAAGGGGAGGATAGCAAAGGGTAGGGCAGAGAATCAGCTCACGTAGCTGATTTTCCCAGCGCCTCCAGTCGCCAGGAGGCGCCCATTTATCGAGGAATGGGCCCGGCGGCGGGCCGAAACCAGCTGCATGAAGCAGATTTCGTAACCCCCCCTTTCCTTATTCCACCCCTTTCGTTCGGCCCGAACATCATTGCGCCAGATACCGTGGGATGGAAAAATATTCCGACTATCACTCACAACGCTTGAACTTGGCCATGCAAAGGCCGCGAGTTCCCGGCCGGGCCGGATCGGCGGCGGCCCCTGAAAGTGAAAATGAAACAAATGAGCGCGAACATCGGAAGCACTTTTTCAACCTGCAGTCGTTGCTGCCTGGACCGTGCTCGATCTCTTTGAATGGCGGAAGTCCAATCTTACGAATTCGGGTTCGCGCTAATTGTCTACATCCACGGTAGCTTGCATCGCACAGCTTTCACCAAGTAGATTGCACCGCGTGGCTCACACCACATAGCTTACACCACACATCTTGCTTCACGTCGCTCGCATCGCATAGCCTGCAACACACACGTCTTGCCCATCGAGGGTGCAATAGTTTACTTTTTGGGGCCCACACTGGCTACTCTGGGTTTCTTAACAAGGGGAGGGGTACCCCACCGACGGGGGTCAACCTTGCCTCGTCGTCGCGCCGCGACGGGGTCGGAGCGCCTTCGGCGCGCGGTGGCTGCCCGCGACGGGGGTCGATGTGGGGCTGCCGGCGGGGGTGACGCCCCCCCGACGCTTCTTAAGAAACTCGGAGTAACATTTTGCTTTCGCTTGAAATGCGGTGCGCTGCATTACTTTGCGCTGCCTTGCTTTGGAAGGAAGGCGACCTCCAATTGGGGCTCGCGCCGGATTCATGCACTCCGCTGGATCACCAAATTCACGAGGGTCCCGAGTCCCAAAGCTCGAACATTTCCTCCGTGAGGGATGGAAAACGCCCCTACCCGTACGTCGACAAAATGTTGCATCACTCTAGGCGAGTTCTGACATGTGTACTTCAACACCCCGCCTCCCCCCCCACCCTCATCTAATATTGGGGGCATGCGAGAAGGAGCTGTTCTGAAATTCCCCAGGCGATGGACAGAATGTTGCACCACCAACCTGTTTCGGCGACCCTGGACCGCAGCCAATATTAGATGGAGGTGGGGGGGAGCCTCAGACGTAAGCGTTTATTTTAAAACGGTGCCCGCTATCTTGGGCACCAGGTGGTGCAACATTTTGTCGATGTACCGTACCCTGGGTTACAAGTGCGTGGTTTGTCCTGGGGGCTCCCAAAGGTCTGAGAGCCGCCAGGACGCCGCGCGACACGCGCGATACGCAGGTCTTACCCTGTCAGCCAACAGAAGGTTCAGCGCACAGCGCCTCGTCAACCAGGGCAGGGCTGAACCTAAATGGTGTTGTTCGTTTTCGTTTTGTTTTCGTTGTCCCTCGCTTTTGTCTCGAATCCGCCTTTACCGCAAAACGAAGTCGAAACGAAAACGGCCCACGAAATCACCAAAAACACTGTTTAGGTCCAGCCCTGAACAAGGGTAGGGGCGTTTCTTTCGCCCTTGACTCCAGGCACTGGGTCTCCCTTGGGCTGCCCTGTCTTCCATCCGCGGCTGGGCTATTGAAGGCCTGACCACACAATCAAAACCCTGGGCCCATGACCTTGCCAGGGAAATGGCGAGCCTCCGCCCAATCTCCCTCAATCCTCCTGCCTCCATGCTCGTCCTCCGATTCCCCCTCCGTCCTCCAGCTGGAGGAGAGAGGGAGGGAGAGAGGGAGGGAGCGAGGGAGGGAGAGAGGGAGGGAGAGAGGGAGGGAGGAGCGAGGAAGGAGGAGAAGGAGGACCGAAGGAGGATGCGGACGAGGAGGAGGAGGGGGGGGGATGGAGGAAGGGGGTGAGGGAGGGAGGGAGGGAGAGGCAGTAGGAGGAATAGGACGAGGAGAAGACACGCCCAAGGTGCGGCAGGAGCTTCCGGCTGCAGGTGACGGAGCTGCCTTTTCTGCCCGCGGCGAGCTCCGAGGTCCGAGAGAGCGGTCGAACTACAGTCGAGGTACTACCGGAAGGAACGCTAAGGAGCGAAGCCCCTTTTTGGTACCAAGAGCGCCCGGGTGAACGAGGAGAGCTGGAGGAACAACCACGGAATGACCTGAGGAACGGCGAGCCCCTTCCGAACCCAACGCGGTCCTTCTCTCAGCGCCTTGACCCTTGACTATGCTTGTGGGCAGGAGCAGACTCGTGCCTGGCTTCTCACAACGGCCTGCGGGGCGTCCGAGTCCGAAGCCGGGCGCGCTCAGGCCAGAGGCCGAGGGTCTTCCGACGGAAGCTCGTGCGGAGCAGGCTCCACGCGGCGGATGGTGAGCGACCAGCGCTCCTGGAACCGCCGCTGTCCGCCCTTGCCCCATTGCTCGCATCACCACCACCACCACCACCACCACCACCATCACCACCACCACCATCATCATCATCATCATCATCATCATCATCATCATCATCATCATCATCATCATCATCATCATCATCATCATCACCATCATCACCATCATCACCATCATCATCATCATCATCATAATCATCATCATCATCATCACCATCATTATCATCATCAACATCATCATCACCATCATCATCACCATCATCACGATCGTCATCATCATCATCATCATCACCATCATCACGATCATCACGATCATCATCATCATCAGCATCATCATCATCATCCGCATCATCATTACAATCATCAGCAGCATCATCATCTGCATCATCATAATCATCAGCATCATCATCAGCATCGTCATCATCCGCATCATCGTCAACATCGTCATCATCATTACCATCATCATCAGCCTCCTCATCCTCATCCTCATCTTCGTCCTCATCCTCATTCCCACCCTCACCCTCACCCTCATCCTGATCATCATCCGAATCGTTTTGCTTTCCTCTTGCTCCTCCTCCTCCTCGTCCTTTTCACCATCATCACAAACACCATCACCATCACCATCATCCTCATTAGCATCCTCATCTTCATCCTCCTCATCATCATCATCCTCATCACCATACTTATCATCATCGCCATCCTCATCCTCACCCTCATCTTCATCATCATCACCATCATCATCAGCATCATTGTATTAGTATTGTTATTATTAGTCGTATGTTTAGGATTACTGTTACTAGCAATATTGATATTATTGTGAGCATTATTGTTATCAGTAGTATTCCTCTTCTTCTTTTTCCGATTGCAATTATCCAGCTAACCTTCGGAATTCGCACGATCACTGCAGGAAAGTAAGTATATGGCCTAAGATGGTGCGAAACAGCCCACCAGAGGCCTCTAGAAAGGCCCCCACGAGCACGCAGGCAAATGACAACGATGATGCAATATGGGTAATTCGGCGGACTGCGAGAATGGATTGAATTCGGCAGGCCCATGCGGGCACTTGCTGTGTGAACCCCCCGGGGTAGATGATGGAAAGATGGCGAGACGGAGCGTCCGTCTTTGTGCCTAGCGTAGCACCGCGTTCGATGAAGAACCTCATATTTTCATGATTGGCTTTGGGCGCTGTGGCACTGTGGTAACATACGTGAAACCACCCGTTCTCATAGCCAGCATTTCACAGTTCCGCGAATCGGTTCGTGCTCAGTTGTATCAGCTCTCTCGGACCTCGGGTAGCATCACATCGAATCCTGGGTCAGCTGTGCCAAGATTCGGGGGGCCATGGCGGCTGCCGCCGCGGCCATCGCAAGGAAGCAACCGTTTCGCTTCCGCCACGGGCTCCGCCGCCATGAAAAAATGATAGGAGTCTTTTTCCCCCTAGAAGCGAGCCTTTTTTCTCCCCTAAAAGCGACTAGAACTTGAGCCAAATGACGTCAGTAACGACGCCCCTCCAAGAGCAAAACTTTACACACTGCATTGTGCAACTGCTCACCCCAGTCGGAACGCTGTAAACAAGCACCTCCGTCTCATCCTCCTCCTCCTCCTCCACCTCCTCCTCCTCCCCCTCATCAGCATCATCATCATCATCATCATCATCATCATCATCATCATCATCATCATCATCATCATCATCATCATCATCATCATCATCATCATCATCATCATCATCATCATCATCATCATCATCATCATCATCATCATCATCATCATCATCATCATCATCATCATCATCATCATCATCATCATCGTTATCATCATCACCATCATCACCTCCACGACTATTCTCAGTATTATCATCATCACCGTCATCAACACTGTCGTCGTCACACTCATCATCCACACCACCATCATCATCACCGTCACCATCATAATCACCGTCAACAGCACAATAATCATCACGAGCATGACCATCACCAGCACCACCATCATCATCAGCAGCATCATCAGCATCACCACCATTATTATCATCATCGCCACCATCGTCATCGTTAGTATTTTCATCTCCATCGTCATCACCATCCCAATCCCCGTGCTCATCAGCATCAGCAGCAGCATCGTAATCACCACCATCATCACCATCATCAGCAGCATCGCCACCAGCATCATGACCATAGGCATCATCATCAGCACCATCAGCATCATCATCACCATCACCAGAACCACCATCAGCATCGTCACCATCATCGTCAGCATCGTCATCGTCATCAGCAGCATAAGCATCATCACAATCAGCATGATCATCAGCAGCATCAGCAGCAGCAACATCAGCATCATCACTACCACCACCACCACCACCATCATCATCATCATCATCAACATCATCATCATCATCAGCATCATCACCAGCATCAACATCAAACATCATCGTCATCATCATCATCATCATCATCATCGTCTCCGGCCTCGTCCTCATCCTCACCATCATCTTCATCATCCTTATCGCCACCATTGTCGTCGTCGTCCTCCTCCTCCTCCTCATCATCATCATCCTCATTACCGTCATCAATACCATCATCCTTCCTATCATCATTACCATCTTGGCCGTCATCCCCACCATCCTGATAATCCTCGTCACGGCTCTTCCAAGCCTGGAGACACTAGGTGTCCCACGTGACGGCCTCCCGTGCCCTCGCGAACAGTCGCCACCCAGGATGCTGGGCTGGCACGGCGGCCGGACTTGCTGCAGGCAGCTGGATAAGTGATGATCGATGATCTGACGCGCGGGCCAGGCAGGCTCCCAGTACTTCGCCGCTACGAAAAGTCTGCCAACATGTAGCGCCTCCAGTTACGCGACGGGCCTCGGGCACAACGTTGTCAGATGTTGTCACTGGCGTTGCGCCCGCGACAAGAGCGGAGACGTCAAAAGGTCCGTTGGGCCGCGGGGCCCCAGTACAATCATCCGTTCATGCATTGTTTTGCTCAAGCCTCGGGCGGAACCGCCCTTTCGAATTCGAATACGGTGGTTTTGACATACAGTCGAGATCGTTGTTGGAGGAAGTCTCAAGCGAAAGCCACACTTTGGAAATCTCTGGTCAGAAATCCGAAAACTTAAAGACCAACCGGTGTGGCCATTTCGAAGCGACGGTTTCGCTTGAGATTTCCTTAAACAAACAAATGCGGGCGATTTCAAAATTTTGGGGGTCGATTTCGAAATGGCGCTCCTGCCCAAGACTTCCTTCAAACTAGAATTCGAAACCTTTCTGGCTTGATTTCAGAATGGCACTCCCGCCGAGAACTTCCTCCGAAACAGAATTCGGAGCCTTTCGGGTTCGATTTCGAAATGGCGCTCCCGCACAGGGCTTCCTGAAAACTGGAATGCGATACCCTTCTGGTTCGATTTTGAAATGGCGCTCCCGCCCAGGACTTCCGCGGAAATAAAGGTCGGCACGTCTTGAGCTCGAATTCGAAATAGCGCTCCCGCCTATAAGACTTGTCTTGGTGGAAGCACGGAGCGAGTCAAAACTTTCGTGGCGCCGATGTATTGAACCAGTGACTGCACCGAAAAGCGAAGCGGCCATTTTGAAGTGGGCCAGCACTCGCCCAACTCCTGCTTGGGTCTGTGAAAACGGGTACAGGTACATTGGAGCAACATGTAACGCAACAGGGTGGGCTCACTGACGGTGACTGGAGAAAATGGAGGCCTGATCCTGTCGCACGTCGGAGATGCTACGAGTGTGGAGAGGAGCGACGCAATGGCTGCGCTTGTCAACGCCAGGGCCGATCAGCACTTGCGAACGTGTGGAGAAGCTGCTCCGTACCTGATCAGCTGTCGCGAGATTCCAGCGCACCGAAGCGTCGAGCTGGGCGTCGATCTCGGCTCCCAGCGAGACGGCACAGCATGTGGACGCTAAAGAAACGAGCCCAGCCAGTTTCGCGATGAGCTGAAACACCCTCGCCATCTCCCTGTAGCCTTTGAGGGCAAAATCACCGCGGCAACACCTTCGGCGCAGATCCGAATTTGGCCGTGGCCAGGTCCCTGGACCGAACATGTCCCACACAAACGGGCTGGCTGCGATAACAAAGAGGCTGCCACTGAAAGAACAACCTGGCAAAACACCAGAATTCATCAACACCAAATGACTTAGACGGCCCCGGTCTTGGAACAAAAAGCATGGATTGGCTATGGGAGGAAGGAGGAGGAGAAAGAGGAGGAGGAGGAGGAGGAGGAGGAGGAGGAGGAGGAGGAGGAGGACAGGGAGAATGGGGCGGACGAGAAGGAGGGATAAGGGAGGGGGACGGTGACGAGGGAGGACGAACCGTGCAGATGAAGCGAAGCAGCGGGGCGGCTTGGCTCCTCCCGTCGCAGGCCGCAGGCGACCTCGGCGCGGGCCCCCCCCCCATCCAGGAGCACTGCCCCTCCTACGGGCAGCAGGGACAGAGACACCAGGCTGGCCTTGATTCGACCATCAAGGCCCCTCGGATCGGGCATCCAGTGCTTCGCTGGGCAGCGCTGGATGACCAATTGCTGGTGGCTTTCGCGTGGCGGTCGTCCTCGGATCGTGCGCCGACATCGCTTCGCGCCAACTCGCATCTGAAGACTGTCTGGGTTCGCTTCAGCCCCAGTGTTGCTTCGGGATCAAGGCTGTTTCTCATCAGCACGAAACGAAAAAGCCTCGTGAGCAAATGCTCGCGGAAAAGGAGGAAGTGGGGTGATAATGTGGAAATGAATGATGACTGATATAATGAAATGGTGAGGAGGAGGGGGAGGGGAAAGAGAGAGACGAGGAGGACTTGAAAAGGGAAGTACACTCGCTGGCCCTCCCTCCCCCCGCCAGGGCAAGCAGCGCGTGTGCTCTGAGCGACGGGCTGGCAAAGCGCCACCAGCGCAGTCGCCGTCGGCCTCGGCAGCGGCCTCAGCGGAACGCCGAGGAGACGGAATCTGCTCGACGCTCTGCTGAAGGAGACTCCACATGGGACGTTTCGGCCGCATTCTCTTG